ATCGGATGGTTAATTTGATATGAAATTTGCGTTTTCCCCACTTGTGTCTTCTTGAGAGAGGAACGAGAGTGAGATTGCCTATGGCGAAGGAAATCAAAGTTGTCACAGCGCCGCAGGATGGGTCCGGGTCGTGATTTGAATCCTTGGAGAAGGGCAACGAATCACCCACCAACCTTGGAGACGCCGGGTTTGTGGTTTTCTCTTTTATTTTTTTGTCTCACTCACCACCCTACTCTTATTCTTCTTCTCACATCGATTCATCACCAAACTTCCACTTAACCACCATACCAAAGATCCACATAATTTGTTCCCCACATCTAGGCCGGCCACCTCACACGATCCCACCTCTTGGCCGCCACGCACCTTACCCCCATTAGCTCCTCCACCGCCGCCACTCTTGGTTCTCCATGAATGAGGAGTCAATGTCACTCTTAATGCTTGCCTAAAAGTTCAAATAATTTAGGAAATTTTTTCATTCTTTGAAATTCGATATTTTTGAATTTCAAATAGTTTCTAAAATTTAGAAAAGCTATTTATAGAAAGTCTTAACACCTCATTCAAATCAATTTCATTTTGATATAAGATTTAAAATCTTCTTTAAAACCCATTTATTTCTCTTTGAAATATGTCAAAATCTGAGACGTTTGTTTTGACCGAAGTTTACAAGCCTTTTAATCACTGTTCCAAGTTCTGGTAGAAGGGATTTAGGATTAATTCTCTAATTCACCTCCTCATTCCCAGTAACTTCTCCTTGGCTAATTTAATTTCTAATTCAATTCCCGTCATCCCCTAGCTCGGCGAAAAGGGCTGATGCAAGCTGCGGCCCATGGCTTAAGGAATTAGGAGAATTAATGAGAGTTTCCTAATGCTACATTTCTTTGATTTGAATTTTAAAATTATAATTCAAGCAGTTTCCTTCTGTAACTCTTCTTGCTAGCTGGAATTTTTCATTCAATTATCTTGGCTTTTAAAGTATTCCTAATACTAAAAGCTTGGTTTTTTTAGGAAATAATTAATCCTCCAATCCACCGGGCTGGAATTTATCCTCTCCCATATATCCTCATCAAGTACGTATAAATCTAGTAACTTGTCTCTGAGAAAACGTGACTGCACCTGCCTTATGCATCCACTTCTTATTCTTTGTGGCAATAACCTCTATTTTAGTTTTGGAAGTTGGAGCCCGCCCTTTATTTCTCTGCTGGTCGAAACTTCCCCAAGGTGGTCTCCCCTAGTTGTGCAATTTTCTATACTACTAATACTGCAACCAAGTATTTCCAGCACGTGAATTATATTTGTTTCCCAGCACTTGAAGCTTCAAAATTGCTGCTATTCGGCCTAAATTCCCAGCAAGGGAAGTAGTGTAGTTTCTGCCGAGAACCCTCATACTGTATCCAACCTCTCTTATAGCTGCTGTTTGGATTTTCTAACGCATACCAGCTGTTGTCACGTATGCCAAGGCAAAGATATCCCTGCTGTCCAGATAGCTCTAAACTAGCGCAGAATTGCTATCCGCCAAGAGTTTGTCCAAACGGTTGGTAAACCGCCAGAATCGTGCTGAGAGATCTTCCCTAGCAAAAGCCACTCCTAACCCGTTCTACTCAGTATTGGTAAAGCGATGGCGGAATATCTGACGCTATTGAACTTCAGGTAAGCTCACTTTGGACGAACTTGTTAGTGGGAACAGGCTCGATTAGAATCAATCAACTGGAGCTCTGTAGCGACTAAGCCACTCATAACACCTTCAAACATCGAACGGATATCATCACTTAGAGACATGCACAGGAACTAGCCCCTTATCCCATAAACCTTGCATATAAGGATCGAAAGAAGGCACTAGAGAGAGAGATAGTGGGTAGAGGGACAAATGGATGGAGCCAATGATAGCATTCAATGTTCCCACTCCTGTTGCAATCAAAAGTGAGCAATCTAAGGGTGATCAGGAAGAATCTGAAAAGGATCGAATTTGGTTGTTCATTACAAACTCCTGACAGACAGCCAATGTTTCTTCTATACTGCGTTTAAACTCCTACCGGAGAAATGTAT